GCTCCCTCTTCACATGTCTTTTCATCTCGTATTTCCTTGTCTTTTGCTTCAACTATCTCCTCTTGGGGTTTAACTATTTCCTCCTTTCGCATTCTGTCATGCCCCTGGTGGAGACTGACTCTGAGGAAGAGGAGGAACAGCCAACAGGGAGTGGGAGTGTGGCTCCAGAGGTGGTGGAAGAGGCTGGGGAAAGGCAGAGGCTGGCTGAGCAGTCAGAAGAGGATCCAGGCCCATCCCCGATCCATCCAAGCTCACGCAGGGAGGAGAGGATCAGGGAAAAGCAAGGTCTACTCAAGAGGAGATTACCCTGGGGGACTTCCGGTTTGAGCCTCTTCGCGGACAGACTGAAACCGTGATCGTGCGTGGTTTCGATCTGTGCTCGCCGCTGGAGTGCCCCGAGCCAGCTAAGCCACCCCATAGAGGTGGTGAAGAGGGGGGAGACTGCCAGCAGGGTTGAGGAGAGCCGCATCTCTCCTCAGCTGGCCATTACTCCCTTTCCCGAAGGCGGTTGCAGCGGTGGTAAAAAATGGCCACCTCAAAGAAGAACTTGACCAGAAAAGAACGTGCAGGAGGAAGATAAGAAGAAAAAGTTTTGGTTGACTGGGTTAAATTGCAAAAGCAACAACTAAGGTACCCTGGAATTTAAACTAAAAAAAAAGTAACATTGTTCCCAAAGAAGATTCTGAAGCAGCGAAGGAGAGAGAAAAGGGAAAGGATTTGGTTTTTCTTCTCTCCTTTTCTCTATACTGACAGCTAAGAGTTCTAAATAAGAAATTGGGGGGGGGGGGAAATCCACTTTGACATCAATAGGCATTTAAGCTGAAAATAAAATGTCAAAGGGATAATAAAGATTTCTGGATACTTAAAACCTTTTAAAAGCAGGAAAGGAGAGAAAAAGAATAAAAGGGCAGGATCTGGAAAAAAGGGTGGAGACTGCCTGGAATTAAAAGGATTTTACAGTAAAACTTCAACAAGACTTCTAAAAGATACATTTTAACTGAAACTTGGCTACAAAATAGTAGAACTCCAGGAAGAGAAAGTGAAAAAAAGAAGCATGAAGAAACAGCTTGGGAGTATTTGGATTATTTGGTGATCTCTGGATTTTTGGTTATTGCATTTGAATGACTAAAATCAATCAGGTGGCTGTTTAAAAGTGTTTTAAAATGGCACTACTTTTAGATGAATTGAAAATGGAACTTAAAAAGTACAAAGAAGATGCACAAGAAGGGAGAGGTTCTTTTGGCTTTGTATTTCAATTCTTAGAAATGGAGATCTCGAACTATGAGAAACAACAAGAAATGCCTGCAGAACAAGAAGACTGGGACAAAGAAAAAGCCATCTTTAATGAACAAGTAATTTTATGTAGGGGAAAAAAGGAAAGGGGGGAAAGAGAATGAAAAATTTAAGATTTGAAAAAACAACCAACAAAAGGAATAATAACTTGAAAAATAAGTATAATATTAGAAAGCAACAGAAGTGAGGAATACAGAAGAGAGAATTAGAACTAGAGAGACAAGGGGGTAAAAAGTGGAGGGAGAAGAAGAGAGGGAAGAAGGAAAGGAAAAGAAGTTATAAAGGACAGAAACAAGATATGGAGAAACGGCCTATTTAGAGATAATGGGTGAAAATTTAATTGAAAAGGATTCTGCAAAGGTACATAAGATAATATTGTTATATTAGAAATAGAACTAATTTTAGAAAATATTAAACAATATATGATTAAAATGATGGATAAAATAATTATTGTAATCTAGTGAAATGTTTGTTAATAAATAAATGAAATAAAATGAATGAGAGAATTGAATTAGGAAAGGATGGGAACACTTTAATTATTTAATGTTTTATAAAATATAAGGGAAGAGAAATAGGGGAAAAAAATTAATTATGGAAAACTTATAAGTGTTCCCAAGGAAGTATGATATTTAATTTAAAAGTAGTGTTAAAGATGTTAATACTTTAATGAATATTAATGATAGAATTGAATTGGAATGGAATGAGTTTTTTAATTACATATATTTATAATCACTTTTTAGGAATAAAGTGTGTATTTTAAGAATGTACCAAACAGAATTCGATTGGAAGTTATGTATTATATTGAATGTTATAACCTCAAGGTTATAAAGCTTAAATAAGAGTTGAATGAATAAAATTAAAAGATATAAAGGTGTCATACTCCAATTAGTAACAACAGGAGAAAATTTGTTTAATGAGAAAAGAAAATATGAAATTGAAACAGGACAGACAAAAATATAAATATAATGATTTGAATTGATATGAGATAATTAAAATAAAATTGAGAAAATTAAGAGAGGAGAAAAACTATGTAGAAAATGTAAAACAGTAATAAGATATGGAATAGAACATAAAAGTGAGCATGAAATTGAGTTTGTGTCTGTATGAAGAAGTGTAACCGGGGACCATGCTGTTTTCAAAAAAAGATGTTTTATTTGTATTATGGGTTTTTTTGTGAAAACCCAAATATTTTTTTTTTAAAAAAAGAGATTACCATGATCCTTCTCATGGCTTGCAGGTGGGAGTTATGTATATAAGTTTGTAACTGCACAGTTAGAATTTGCAGGAGTCAATTTTATTGTTCACCTTGAAAGAGGTTTATCTGTGCTGGCGTTCTTCCCATGGACTCTCCTCAATTATTTTCCTGAAGTTTATGATTAATTATCTTGGCTTGCTTCGGAACTCTCATCAATGCGATTTGTTTTGGTTTTCTGTTTGCCTCATTAGTTACTTTTGTGACTTTAAACTGTGCCAAATAAAACAGTGAAGTTAAGTTGAAGGCCTTACCGGACTTTAATATATGTTTTGGGTTTGGGGTTATTTTGAGAGACTACAGGTCATCACACATTCTCTCTTCTTTTACTCTAAAATATTCTCCATAAAATAATTCTGCTTTCTCTAATGAATCCAATCTGTGTCTTTGCTCTTGCCAAGTAACTATGAGACCTTCTGGAATCAACCATCTGTAGTTCTCTCCCTTCTTAATTAAAATTTTTGTCAAAAATTGGTGTTCTCTTCCCATTTCTCTCACTTTTCTTGGTACTTGTTTTAGGACCATAATCTCCTTTCCTTTGTATTTCAATGGGTCATCTCTTGCACTTTGTAATATTTGTGTTTCGATTGCTTTCTTGGTAAGTCTTACATGGACTTCTCTAGGTAATTTATTTCTCATTGCATATCTTGTAAAAACTCGGAATACTTCGTCTATTCTATCCATCATTTTCTCTTTGGATATCTTCAAGGCACCTGCCAGCATTTCTATCATTATTTCTGCAAGTTTTTCTCCCTTCTCTTCCTTGATATTTTGAAATCTAAGATAAAAATCTGCCCAGTCCATCTTCCAGGCCAACATTCCACTTCCTTTGTACTGTTCAACAGTCTACTGTCAATTTCTCCAATTTTTTTTTGTCTCTCTGATCACCTTTTTCTTCTATCTTTTGAAATCTTTCTTCATTTTTCATCATCATTTGTTGTATATTCTCTATTTTCTCATCCGTTTTCTCTGTTCTCTATTCTTTGTATTGCTTGCGTTATCATTTGTAGTGTGACCTCATTCTTTTTCTCCTTCTCCCTCTCTTTTTCCTGCTGCAACATGGTGTGTATTGACCGCTGACCACTGAGTGGAGAGGAGGATGTAGGAATTGATGAGCCATAGCAGTTGTTTTCCTCATTTCCAATTAATTGCAGATCTGAACAATAAGTAACAACTTATAACACCAAAAAACAATCTTCAGGTTCTTCTTTACCTTAATCCAATTATAAAGGGAAAAAGAAATCAAAAAGAATAAAAATGAAGATGAAAATTGTGAGAAAAAAACCCAATTCCATAAAAACATATAAAAAACAGGAAAAAGAATAAAAAATATTTAAAAATATAAAAGTAACCCACCAATAGTATTAAAAAGAGAACAAGAAAACCAAATAAAAAGTAAAAAGTAAAAATTATATTCCAACAGTTCTAGACTCTCATTAGGCATGAAAACCAGCTGGTTGAGTTTGGGTCACCCACTGTCTCTCATCCAAACTCCCCTTAACCCTAAGCTTTTCACAGAGTGGTTGTTGTAGGGAAAATTGGAGTTTATATGCCACCTAACATACACAAAAATAAAGGCAGGATAAAAATAAAGAAAATTAGAAGGCAGGATAAAATAACAAAAAAATAAAGGCAAGATAAAAACAAACAAATGAAAAAGAAATAAATGTGAGGTTATTCTTACCAAGGAATTTTTGCTTTGATAGAAACAGGTTTTTGAAAGTTGCTAAAATGTGCCTTTCCTTTGTTTAAAACAGTGGTCTGCAGGGGGGCAGAGGGGGAGGAGGAATGGTTTTATGTGCATGTGTGCTGCTTGCACAAATGCACACATGAGTTCATGGACCTGGGGTTGGCGGGCCCTGGTCTAAAATACAGCCTCCCATCCACTTTTGATATGAAAAGAGCTTGCCTCTGCCCTGTTGTTTGATGCCTCACACAGCTGAGAATTGAATAAAGTTCCTTATCGTAAAGTTTTCTTTTGGTATGGTGAAATAGAGACCTCTGGGTCAGTCTTATCTAGGATGGGTAAGCAAAATCTGTTTTCACTTGCACCATGCTTTAAGGAAACATTTCAGGGTTATTTTATGTTCTTTCAAGGGAGGGGATCTTCCTGAGAGTTAACTCTTAAGATTTTTTTAAATTATATTTTTCTGGCCTTTCCTGAACTGGGGGAAAAAATTGATACAGTGTGAATTCACCAAATCCAAAAGAAACCCCATAAGTGCCAGGTGTTACATGACACTAGCATACCTATTATGTTGGCACTGTGTTTGTCATTCCAGTGACTTGAGAGGAATCTTACTAAATCCTATGTCCCCTGCACTGGTAGATCACTTTTTTTTAGCATTGGTCCTGAATTTTATACAAGGATCTGACCTAAGCAGTTAACTTTGTGGTGGCAATTCTCCACTGATGGTGGTATCTGATTCACAGCAGTGTTTTGTTTTTCTTACAGGATGAAGAAAAAAGGCTGCGTCATCGCCAGGGAATCTCCCAAGCACCTCCTACCCAATTAGCAACTTCCAAAGGTCCTTAAGGCTGAGTCTGTATAACCAAATCTTGGACTTATCAAGACGTGTTGTACAGCACCCCCAAATTACATCTGTAACAAGTTTTACTATCTGGCAGGCATAGTCAAGAAACTTGTGGATGCTTTTAGCACCAGCTGCTATCTTAGAAGATCTTACAGAAGACCTGCTGGAACTGTTCCTCCTGCCACAAACTGTAAAGCATTGTATAATGGATGTGACACAGTATTATCTGCCTGTGACAGTGTCCAGTTCTGGCTGTGCAAAAGGGCTGGCCCTCAAGCAGATCTGGAATTAACTGACTGGCTATAACGCAGGGACATGAGATTGAGAGATAGTGGCTAATCCTTTCCCTTTAGGTTGCTGTGACATGAAAGAACCCTGAGAAGCTGCAAAGGAGAACAGAAAAGCACTTTACTAAATACTGCACAGGAGATGATAAATAACAGCAGTGCCTGAAAAGAACAGATCAGACTCCTGTCTTTTCCTGGTGCCTGATTTTGTCCGTTTAGCCACACCAAAGGAGTAGGATGTGTTATGACGTATTTTCCTTCTGTTCCTCACGCTTTTCTACTTCAAAACTAGCAGTTATTTCAATCCTTCATTGAAAGAAGTACAGACATTTGTACAGTTTGTGCATTGACTAATTTAATCCTGCTTCAAGCTCAGCACCAGCACATCTTCGCATTCCTAGCCATCCAGAGGGGTTAAGATATGGAGTACACTAACTCTTTTATGTTTGTTTTTTTAAATGAAACAAATGAAATGATACCAGGCTCATGGTTGGTGATCTCTACTGTATGGCAAATTCTTGCAGCTTTGGCAATGACAAGTGATTGCTGGAGGAGGGGGAGAGATACTTTCCAGAGTTTACAGATTAACAGAGTTAGAAGGTACCTTGTAGATCACCTAGGCCAACCCCCCTGCCCAAGCAGGAGACCCTACACCATTTCTGACAGATGACAGATGAAATTTTCTTCTTGAAAGTTTCCAGTGATAAAGCTCCCACGACTTCTGAAGGCAAGCTGTTCCATTGGTTAATTGCTCTCACTGTCAGAAAATTTCTCCATATTTCCAGGTTGAATATCTCCTTGTTCAGTTTCCATCCATTATTCCTTGTCTAGCCTTCAGGTGCTTTGGAAAATAGCTTGACCCACTCCCTTCTCTGGCAGCCCCTCAAATATTGGAAGGCTGCTATCATGTCTCCCCTGGTTCCTCTCTTCACTAGACTAATCATGCCAACTTCCTGCAACTGTTCATGTTTTAGCCTCCAGTCCCCTAATCATCCTAGTTGCTCTTCTCTGCACTTTTTCTAGAGTCTCAACATCTTTTTTATAATGTAGTGACAAAAACTGGATGTGGTATTCTAGGTGTGGTCTTACTAAGGCTTTATAGAGTGGTATTTGTACCTCACTTGATCTTGATCAATCTAGATCTTGAGCCTATCATCTAGGGCAGGGGTGTCAAACTCGCGTTGTCATGGCAGCATCATGGGATGTATAGGGACTTTTTTCCCCTTCACTAAACCGGGTGTGGGTTTGGCCAGCACGTGATGCGTGTTGCCTGTGGGCCACAAGTTTGACAGCCCTGATCTAGGGTGTTGGCTATTCCTGCCATCCGCAAATTTGGTAGGTTCCCCTTCTATTCCCTCGTCTAAGTTATTTATGAAGATATTGAAGAGTACTGGACCTAAGGCGGAACCTTGTGGTACCCCACTGCTGACTTCCCTCCATGTAGACATAGTACTATTAAGGACTACTCGTTGAGTACAGTTTGTCAGCCAGTTACAAATCCATCTGATGGTGATGCTATCTATCCCACTTTTTTCTAGTTTACTAAGTAGGTTGTGGTCTACTTTGTCAAATGCTTGCTGAAATCTAGGTATATTGTATCCACAGTCTTTCGTTCTTTTTGTCTTTCAATTTCTTTGTGCAGCCATGCTGGTTTCTTCTTGGATTTCTTGTTTTTCTTTTTCAGTGGTATTGTGCTGGTCTGAGCTTTTATGATCATATTTTTCAGAGTTTCCCAAGCTTCTTGAGTTGTTTTCCCCTTTAGGATTTTCATCCAAGGAATCTTTCCCAAGTTCTCTCTGAGTTTGTTAAAATCAGCTCTTTTAAAATTTAGGACCCTGGTATCATTATGTTCTATTGCTTATGTTTGCATTATGTTAAATTTTAATATGACATGGTCACTTTCACCCAAGGTTCCTGCAATTTCAACTCCCTCTATCACTTCTTCTCTGTTTCTAAGAATTAAGTCCACTATGGCTGTCCCTCTAGTTCCCTCCTTTTGAACAACAAAGTTGTCAGCTAAGTTGATCAGGAACCTATTCGATTTCTCACTTGGTGTGGAATTAGTCTTCCAATTGATGTCAGGGTAATTGAAGTCCCCCATTACTATTGTAGTGTGTTTCCTGCATATGTTTGTTAGTTGGTTGGCAAAAAATGCATCTATTTTTTTCTGCTTCATTGGGTCGCCTATAGTATATACCTATGGCAATGTCATTCCTTTTCTTTTTATATTGACCCATATGCATTATAGGAGGTTTTCGTTTTTGGTTTCATGTATTTCTGTAACAGAGGTCCTTTACATACAGTACAACTCCACCTCCTCTTTTTGGGGGTCTGGTTTTTTTTTTTAACAGTTTGTATCCTTCTTTTAAACAGGGTACAATTTTTTGCATTTCTGTCTTAGAGTCAAGAGACCCAACCAAGGCCCCAGTATGTACACAGCTAAATCTACTCCAAGAGTATCCTGCTGGACTAGTCCTCTTCAACATCCTTTCCAACTTAATAGGCCATAAGAGTAAATATCAAAAGACATTTTAAAATTAAGCCAAATTTTTAAAGGCACTACAAGCTTTGAAATACAGGTAATGTGCTAATCTAAAGCACATTAATTAAGCATGTGTTGTACAGGATAACCCCCGAGAAAGAAGCCTCTTGGGTTGTCACAAAAGACCTTGCCTATACAACAGCTTTGATTATGCCTTACAGATCTGCAAAGTGGAATGAGCTTGGGATATTTCTAAAATGTGGGTAGGGAGATATGCAGAGATTAGAAGTTCTGAATGTTGTACTCTTACTCACACAAACTGTCTGAGGCTGGCTTGATTTATGTATATACTTACTTGTACTTATTGTTTGCTTATTAGATTTATAAGGTCATCCAACTCAAGTAGTGAGATTTGGGGTGGCATACAGAAAAAAAAACCAAAATAACAGATAAAACACGCATTATTATAAATTATGTGCGTATGTGTATAAATGTACATGTATATATAAAATAATGACTAGCATAATATTAATCATTTCCAGTGGATGATCTTTTTTTCTCCATGTGTTCATCCTCCACCTGCTTTGGGAGATACTGACTTGCATTGTGAGATCCTCCCAGACAGAAAGTGAAGAGGAAGCTGCTCCTCAAGTAATTGATCCCTTCCATGAGCTTACTAAGACAACATCCACTTACAGCCTCTTGAATGGTTGTAGGCAAGTACTGAGTACTAAGCAAAGAACATTGGTGCATGTTATGGGTGAAGCAAAAGCAGTTCCACATTTGGGTGGAAAGAGATTGCTTTGCCACTTCTTTGGCTGCTGAAAAGGCTGCATAGGCATACTCAGAGAGCTTGCTCAAGATGCATAGGAGGGGATGTTAATCAAGTTCACCATTGCAATAGATGAGGAGGAGAAATGTCTGTCCACTGCATATAGGTACAAGAATTGCTGAGTCGGGAGGAGAATGATATGAGAGCATGACAGCCTTCAAAATAAATGTGAAGGAGGTGGTTATCAAGTTTGGCAACTGGCCAGACTGCATAACACTGTACAGCAGGGAGCAGAGATTGATTGCAGCACCATACACGGCACCTTTGAGAGGGAGAGATTGTGCAGATCGAAATCGGAAGGCTTTCTCATTGTAAAGCCTGTCAGACAGCCTGCCCAAATAAGGGAGCGCTGTCTAAGCAGAACTGCTGTATTCCAGCAACAGTAAAGGTTGCTGTAAATGAGTTTCCAGCAACAGTAAAATCAACTCGGTGACGGTTTAAATTGGCAGGAGTGCCATTTTTGTAGAAGCAGCCATTTTCTAGCCAGCTCTAGTGTGCCTCACGACCCGATCTATACTTCTCATAGACAGTTAACCTTGAAAGATTCTGGTTATTGGGCTATTTAATTGTCTTCAATTTGGCGGAATTCTGTCCTGAGGGGCAAATCCTCAGAAAAAAGACAAGAGGTATTTTTCCTCAGCCTTTCTACCCTTGTGTGCTGTGTGCCTCATGACTAGAGACAATTGCTTATAGACAATTATATGCTTATAGACAATTAACCTTGAAAGATTCTGGTTATTGAGCTATTTAATTGTCTTGAAATTGGTGAAACACTGTCCTGAGGGTCAAAGTCTCAGAAAAAGACTTTCTTAAAGAATTTAATAAGATGCATTACAATTAATTGTTATTTCTATTTTTATTTGATATAGTCAGAGTAATGTTACAGTCTGTTATAGACATTATGGAGGAATCTTCCAACACACTGTCTTCACATCTGATTGCTTCCAATCAACAGAAAGGTAGGGGTAAAAGAACCTGTAAGACCAGAGGATCAGTTCAAGAGGCAGCTGACAAAATCAGGGCCAAGGCCAGAGCTACCAGGAAAATCAAAGCTGATGAGCAGACCGAGCGTAGACTACATAATGCATTGGTAAAGCAAGTCGAGGAGAATTCAAAATAACAAATGAAATCACTGCAATTAAGTCCTCCTAAGGGGGATCACACAAGTCAATCTATTCTATTCCAAGTGGGATCAGACATGGACAATTTGGGCCAAGTAGTTTCTCTAACACGTAGGATTCTGAACTTCCAGGGTGTTCTTACTGGAGTAATCCAGGACCAATGGCTCCTCCTTTAACTAGATCAGGGCAAATGCAACACACTGAAACAGGAGGGCAGTTAATGCCGCTGGTGGTTCAACAGTGCTTTACGTAACTTATTGGTCAGGGAATGATGGGAGGACTTCAGACTAACAGTCCAAATCAGGTGGACTGTAGAGTAGGTCCCTCCCACCGTAGACAACCCTTAGACAAACACTTATGACCAAAACATGATCTACTACTTCAGAGGATGAACAATCTGAGTATTCATTAGAGGAAGGTGAAATAGAATCTCTCTCTGACCGAAACACAGATATCTGATACCAAAGGCCTGTTTAAACCACATTTATTTAAAGCATTATTAGCCAAGGTGAAGAGCGCAACCAGCCTAGAATTGAACAAAGAGACACCTTGTGTTATTCACAAAACGGAGGAATGAAGCTCTTTTCATGGACCCAAAAGTGGAAGCGGAGGTTTTCCCTTCCTACAAATATTCTTTAATATGGTGCAGGGACAGCTAGGTGTCCCTGGTTAGGGTCTTGGAGTAACGGTCTTTGACAAAGAAATTTACAATATAGACACACCATTAGCAGCAACTTTGCAGCTACCCGCAGTTGATGACCCAGTGCTAGCTTTAGCATCTTCTTCAACTAATCTCAGTGATGAAGATAATGTCCTAAAAGGAGAGGACAAAAAGGCTGATTTAATGTGGTGAAAGACACACCAGGCAGCTGCATGGGCGGTCAAAACTGCCACAGCGGCATCCTTTTTCACTAGGGCCTCTGTGATATGGCTAAGACAAATGCAGCAGCAAGTACCAACAGACAATATAAGAGCCCACTTAGACTTTAACAAAGTTATAGCTGCATCAGTAAGCAGA